AATCTACGGTTAGAAGTTTGTAGAAGTGCAGGATCCAACAAAAAAAATAATAATCACTTGAATATACAGTTTGGAAAAAATATGGGTTTGAGGGACGCCTCTATTCCAAGATAAAATAATAAGAACTAAAGGATAAAATAATAGAACTAAAGTGAGTATAAGAGTATAGAGAGTATAGAGAAGATCATAAAGGGGATGTAAAGTTTGTGTCAGATTGATCCAAGTAATTTAAAATACTTGTAGGAGTGGAAGTTAGAGTATGATATATGCACAAAGCAGATATGATGAAAACCTAAATAAATAGATCTAATGTTGTTTTTGTCCGGTTTTAATATTATGTGTTTCTGTCTTTAAAGTTATGTTTGTGGGTCTTTTAAGTTGTTTGTGTGTCCAAAAAATAATGAAACACAGTTTAGAGGGAGACAGCTTAAATCTGCACAAGCGCGCAGGGGGATGTCACTGGAGCGATGGCTGCAGCATTGTTCTAATTGACAGCCTTAATGCATCTGCAGGGTCTCCAAAACTATAATTTCGGAACCAAAATTTAAAATTAATAAACCCACAAGAAAATTATTTTAGTCATGCAAGCTACATACAGGAAAAAGGGGGTGTTTAACGCTCCACAGCCTAAAACTAAAAAGCAAATGATGGCTTTTCTAGGTTTGTGTAATTACTGTAGGACATGGATTCCCAATTATGCTGAGGTTACTCAGCCACTGCTTGATCTCATTTATACGAATGATATGGCAATGATAAATAAAATAGTGTGGACTCCAACTGCAGAGTCAGCTTTTTCACAACTAAAGGACCTGATTGCAAACTGTTCTGTAGTGGCGCTACCAGATTATTCTAAACCATTTATCCAAGCAGTGGTTTGCAGGGGACAATTCATGACCTATCTGCTAATGCAGAAACAAGGGGAAGTTCTTCATCTGAGTGTGAATAGGTGTTTGAGCAAATGGGGGAGCCATTAAAATAGTAGATGTGTATGAAGCATGGGGGATATTAAATGCATCAA